TTTTCCAGCAAAATTACAATTTCCCAAAAACATCGTCTCCACGTCCAAGAAGCGTGCAGCGCGAAACTCGTCTAGTCGTAAATTCAGAGCCAAGCCAGCCACTGTCACTTTGGCTCGATACTTTAAGGCGAAAACTGGAAAAGCAAAGACGGAGGCAGCGGAGTACTCCTCAGCGGGATGCGATCAAGAGGTGCCACACAACAAGAAGACAGCCACGTCACTCATTCTGTTTGAGGAGGTAAAACTTTTCTTTCTGTGTTATTAAATGCCTGGTTTTAGTTGCTTTTTATTTTTTATTTGCAACATTCTGCTCTAACAGGTTGATGTGGTGTTTGACGACGATGTTGGCTTCCTGACAGCCATAAAGGCCTTCATGACCACCACAAAACGACCCGTCGTCATGACCACTAATGGTAAGTTTGATTTTTAATCTCTTTATTTTAAATAACCTACTTGCTCGTTTAGAGGACGGCGTCATTGGAAAAACTTTCTGTAACACTCAACATGGGTGTGATGCAATCTAAATTTAGGGGTTTTAACATTTTCCACGGTGGAGTGATCAAACAACAAAACAATTTTCAAATTTCAAAACCAACGTTGTGTGCAAAAGGTTGCATTTTATTGCACACTGTCAAAATTAAACGTACAGCTGTTATAAAATGTTGCTAAATCCTGTAAGCAAACAAACTTTCTGCAAATTGGTTGTTTTCACAGTGTTGTCCAAACTTTCAAGCACAGTTCAAGAGTTTTCATACATTTAGCTAGCAAACAAACGTTCATACTAAATTAAATATTTTACTTATGAATTAAATATTTAGTTTGAAATTGATATTTATAGATGTATGAATAATATAGTAAAAATGACTTTGAAAAATAAAAAAATAAAAAAATTTTCTCTAAATAAACCAAAAATATTGTAAAAAAAAAAAAAAAAATTTATAAGGTACTGTAGTTTCCTTTCCTAATTAGACAATTATTGACGCTTCATATGATCAATTAAGATTGAACACTGTTCTGATCAAGAGAGAATCATGCTCTCCAAGTGTGTGTGATTCACCTGAGTTGTTTATGCCTCAGCTGTGTGTGGTATCAGCTAGATGACCTTGCTGTCTTTACTGCTGCCTCGGCATATTCAGCTGCACTCTGTCTCTCTCTGTCTTTGTGTTTGTAAAAATCATTAAAGTTTTTGTTGACTCATCTAGGCTGGAAAAAGATTAATTTAAAGGTGTGAGTGAATGACATTCTTGTCCATAATGGACGGATCTAAACTTCTGATCAAACGTATTGAGTTTCTTTAAATGCATGTTTGTATGTTTTCCTTAGATCCCTCATTCAAAGAGAGATTTGGCTGCAACCTGGATGAAATAACTTTCAAAACTCCACCATCAGTAAGTTACATTATACACAGCATCGTGCATGTCTGCAGCTGCAATTGATTTCAAAAACACATAAAAAGCTCTTCTATCTCCTCAATTCTTGCACAGTTAAGTAATGAGTCTCCATCTAGGAAGCAAAATCTTAAAAAATAAATAAATAAAAATACTGTCTTTGTTTTGAAGGCGAATGTCTGTAGTTATCTGCAGCTGGTGTGTCTGGCTGAAAACTTCCAGCTGCCTCCAGACGATGCCAGCAGCCTCTTCAAACTCGCATGCGGCGACGTGAGACGCAGCCTGCTGCAGCTGCAGCTCTGGGTCAACGGCAGCAAAGGGTTGCAGGGCGGAGAGCTGGCCGAAGAACCAGTTAGCTCACGCCGTAAGTTTAATTTTGTGAATATGTCTTCTGTTTAAAACCCCGACGACGACAACAAACCTGGCAGCAGTTTTGTTTGCAGAAGGATGCGGCCTTGATTCAAAGGTTCCTCCCTGGCAAGCAGGCTGCTCCGCACACATGCTGGGTCTCCATCCTGTGACCCCAAATTACCTTCTTAATTTCTTAAAGGCAAGTACTTTATACAAAGATTAATTACACACTGGAAGGCTCTCTTTACTGGTTCTGAACACCTTTTAGGTCTGCAACTAACAATTATTTTAGTTATTGGTTATTCTGATGATTAGAATTTTTATTTAACCACTTTAGCCTTCTCTATACAATGTTAGAAATAAGTAAAATATGCAAATACACCATTAATTCATTTCCTTTTTTTTTTCTTTTTTTTAAAAAAAAAGCATTTTCTCACCTAAAATGCGATAGCATAGCATTAATTTGGTGAACCCTTGATTATTTGTAGCAAAGGATGAATCTGCATCTGAAAAATCATGATGTGAAAAGCTCAGCCCTTACTTGTCTGTTCTTTCTCCAAATGGCCTCTTTGAGTCTGCGTACAGTTAACAATTAATCAATTACTAAATTAATTGACAATTATTTCAATAGTCCATTCATCATGATTAATCTAATAATTTCAGCACCAATATATTGCAGACTTATTATGTTTTGTTTTGTTCTTCAGCGCGGGCCCCTCTCTGAAGAAAACATGCTGAAGTTTCTCAAAATCCTGTCCGAGAGCTGGAGAAGAGGTGTGCCTTTTCTCCACTCCAACCTGGAGCTCCTTCTCTCCATCGGAGCCCCTGAATCCGATTCCCAGCAGCAGACTGAGCCGAGGCGCTCTAATCCTCACATCCCGCGACTGAGTCGCACCTTCGGTTCAGAGGTGTCGCCGACCCGCAACAAATCTTCCCGGCTGAGCCGAAGGAGATTTACGGCTTCCGCATCAGCGTCGCGTTTAACCAGCAGACCTCAAAAAGCGCCATCGTTCACAGAGACCCGGGACAAACCTGAAAAACGTGCAGCCAAAGCGGTTACTGACTGCTTGGACGGACTGGCAGATTTCTTTGACCTCATGTCAAGCATTGACGCGACGCTACCTCACTATGTTTCAGGCCCGCACGCGGCCGAAGCGTTTGTTTGGACCGGAGCAGATTTAAAGGACGGATTGTCGGATGAGCCGAGGGAGGAGGACAGCAGGAGTTTGAAGCAGGGCAGGCTTCAGGACATGAAGGCAGCAGCTGAAGGTTTGGGTTGTCGGCAGTGCTGGTGGAGAGTTACTGAGGCGTGGACCGACGCCTACAGATGTAAACAGAAACTGAACGATAAGCAGTGGAACAGACTGCAGAGGAGGCTGCTGTTAACTGGCTGCTCTAAAAGTCAGAATCTCAGCTTTTCTGCTCAACCTGGATGTGCATCAAGGTGAGTCTGCTCCACTTTTAATACGCCACACCACCCAGCTTCATATGCAAAACAGTTTTCAGATTTAATGGTATGTAAAGGTCTGTAAAAATGAAACTTGCAGTGCAATAGTATAACCGCACTGTGGAAAAAAATAACTTTATTTAGAGTACTTTCTTGTATTTCAAAACGTTCATGAGCTTCCCGGGGCATTTGGAATAGAAACCGGCCCACAGCATCACCCATCCTCCTTAGGTAACGATAGGCATAAACTTTACAACAATGTTCATGAAATAAAAACATGGGCTAAACATTAGAGGTAGCAATTTTAAATGCAACAGAAAATATAGGAATGACAGTGTTATTCCATTTTAAGTATATCAACATCTCAAGTATTTATCCTATTTTTTGCTAAACTCAAAAGAACATGCTGTCGGTGTGTTTACAGGCTGAAAAAGGTGAGAGATTTTGATGCATTTAGTGGACAAAGAAAAATAAAATTAACCTGCCAATTCACCTTCATTCACTCTGTTATAGATTTTCTGCTGTGTTTGAGATCCTAGTCGTGTTTGAGCCGAGATTTACCTGAAACTCACATTTGACTCCAAAATACTTTGGTATACGGAGTTCAGTTAACAAATCATCATTCCTCCACCACCATGTTTAAAAGTTGGTATTCAGTGTTTGTCCTGATGAGCCATATGTTTTTAACGAGCTATACTGCTGTGCATTACGGTCAAACATCTCGACTTTTGGTGTCATCTGCCCAAAGGACTTTGTTCCAGAACTCATTCAGATGCATCTCTGAATGAGAAACTTGTTTCAGTTTCCTGGCAACCTATCCAAACATGCAGTATTTAAGTCACTTTGAAATTCCCAAATCACGATCTTCAACATGCTGACTGAGGTGTGGATTGTTTGAGTTGGAGATCTTGTTGTTTTCTACGATCTGAACTTGCCCGACGTCCTTCCAGTCCGAGACGTCTTCCTTTTCCAGACTTGAGTGTGACACCCTGGTTGTACATTGTCTGATTCAGGGATGAAAACTGCAGCATTTTGAAACACAAAATTAACCAGGAGCTAAAAGGCTGGTGACAGATCACACATTTCTTTGACAGACTTAAGTCTCTGGTAAAATACATGATTGATTAGCATCTGGCTGCTACTCTGCCTTTACAAATCATAATTAAATAGCAATGGTATAATTACCTTTTGCTGTTTTTGTTTCATTAAATCTACACTTGAGATTAAATTTGAACACTTTTTCAAGGTAGTAAAAGAAAAATAATTCTAGCGTGTACATTCCCCCCCCCCCGGCCAATGACTGTATAAAGTAAAGGTTATGCTGGGTCCTAACATCTGTTTTTTCAGGAGTATAAAAGAAGACTCAAACTGTTGCATTTGTACCTGACTTTGCATAGCTTATCTGTCTTTCTAGTGTGTCCCAAAGAAGGTCCAGAGGGAGTCGGCAGCTGCTCAGCAGCGAGTCCTTCAGCCTGCTGGGGAACAGACGGGCCGTCTACGTCGACTACCTGCCGGCTCTCCGCCTCGTCCGTCACGCTGTCGGTGCACAGCAGCACCATCTGGGCAGGTGGGTCACTGATGCCGTCCTAAACTTAACCGTTTCTACTTTTTAAGTAAATAATGTTGAGATAGTTGAATCTTTTCACAGTTTTATTTTTTTTAATGCAACTAAATAGTCTTTAAAATATGTTTCTGTTTTTGGAACAGGTGTTGGAACTACCTGGGCCGTTTGCATCTAGGCCTCTCAAAATCTGCCATCCAACTCCTGGCTGAGGATTATACATTAACGAAAGTTCACAAACACTCCTGAGCTCGACAGGTTTCACCGTATTTATTTGACCTAAACTCTGACTGATGGATTTATTGCCCTAGAGATGACTAATCATGTTTTATCTTCATGAAAGTGCAAATAGTAAATATAAATAAAAGTATTTTTAGATGTGTTAAACTATTCCTTAGGTGCGCTTTAAATCCATCCTGACATATTTTACACGCCTCCAAAAGGAGGAGAAATAAAATAACTCGCTGTATGACGAATACAAAATACCAAATTTTATATTAATCCCATTTAAACACCCTATGGATGCGCTAAAGGACCGATGATGCACCTCAGGAGTCTGCAGTGAAGTCTGTTCATGGTGAATCAAACATATCCAGCTAACAGGAAGAGTCACTGAGGAGCTCGTAAAAAGCCACAGCCTGCAGCAGAGCGTCACACAGCTCCTCCCCTCCTCTCCTGCTGCCCATCTGGAAGTAGTTCCTGTACTTGGCCAGCAGTTCCTGGGGGATGTTTATCCTGGGAAACTTCTGCGTTACTGACTCGGTCATCAGCCGGCGCACTACCTGAGCCCCGCTAGTCCGAGACTCCCCCACAATCAGGTCGAAGTGGCGTCCCACGGCGGTCCTCATCATGTTAAGAACCCTGGTGAGGGAAGGAGAACTCGTTATTTCTGCTTTTAATGCTGCTGAAGACGAGAAAACGTCAAACGGTTTCACTGAATGTAGATTGCAGTAAAGCCTTTTGCAGAGAACGACGTGCTAATCCTCAAATCTGGTTGACTTGATTGTTATAAAAGTAAATTTGATACGAGACACGTGGTAATGGTAGAAAAATACACATCGGTAGATATTTTAAAATAAAATGCATGCCGTACTTTGTAAACTAAAGCGACATTTTCATCTCATGTGATCAAAGCACAGCTACAGGAAAAGTCCCAGTGAAGTTCAGCAAAATCTACCAGTTTTACATTTGTGATGGTAGAAAAGAAAAAAAAAAAAAAGATTTTACAGATATTGCTCCCAAACACCCTGTCAGCAGCTAGATGGTGTCTACTGGTTGTCATTAGCCACCAAAATGCCAGCTTTATTGTTGATATGCTTTTCTCACCATTTTGGCCGTCATCTTAAATCAGGTAAGACGATTTACACATCACTCTTAATTCCTTCTCTCCCATTTACCACAAAACATGTGGCAGGCATCGTTCATTTTAAGCTGCATCTCAAATTTTTTGCAATTTTGAGGACAATGGTTTGGAAAGGATTGATCTGAAAAACCACCAGTTTCACGAGCATTAAGTTTAAACTCATAACTCTGAGGTTTACTGTCTTTGTGAATCGTTTCTAACCACAAACATGTCTGAAGCTTAACATTTTACAAATAAAAGCTGTTTTTTCCAGAACTGGCTGCTGGTAAATCTTAGCAGTAAAAGAAGTCCAGGAGGTTCTGTAAAAACCACTGGAGTACCACACCGAATGAGATATGCCTATTTCACTTGTTACTCTGCTGTTCTACAGCATGAATAATCAATAATAACTGTAAAAGTATCACAGTTGTGACGATACATTTCAAAACAAAGGGCAGGAATACTCGACTGGTCGTTTCAATTAGCGTCTTTCCTGACCTGGGAGGAATATTGGGCTCTGGCGGGGAGATTTTGGGCTCCAGCAGAGCAAACAGCATGGCCTCCACAGTCCTCATGTGGGCCATGACAGGAAACAGAGCTGTGTTCTGCACAGAGAGGGCGGGCTTCTCTATCAGGTAGAAATCTGCTGATGGCAAGACGGACACGACCGTGGACACCTGTGGGCAGAAAAGGAAATGCCTTTGTACTCAGCTGGACATGAGGATTTAGATAACACCGTTTGAAAAGCTGTGATGAGCACACTCACATCATTCAGGTAAGAAGAAGCCATGTACGTCCCTTTCAAGAAATTAGGACACTCCACCTGTTTCCAGTCTAGTACGGTCATCCCCCGGTCCACATGGGCCCAGGCGATTTTATTAGTTCCACATACTATTGATACTATGGATGTAGCATCCTGTGTACACAAAGAACAGTGACATGGGAACAGTGCTTTATGCTCCCTTTGACTTTCTAAATATAGGGTGATCCTGAAAAGCATTCCTGACCCGTAATTTGTTATCCTGCAACTATAATCTTCAATGTATTTTAATGGGATTTTTGTGCTGTTCTCTGTAGGTGTAGAACATTAAATGTATTGAGGTTTGTTGTAGGGGTGGGAAATATTGATTATGAAGAAAACCTCGGATTTAAAAAAAAAATCAAATAAGATTTCCAATTTTAACCTATTTTTTTCCCCTTCCTCTAATTTTTTACCTTAAAAAATGCAAAATGACAGAATTTTTTTTTTTTTTTTTTACAAAAAAGGCTATTATTTCAACCATTCCTTCTGAGAGTTAACCTGAATTCAGAGTCAACATAAATTGAAGTTGCAAAATTTGCTTGGTGAACAAGATGGTAATTTTTGCTCACCTTGGGTTTCTATATTTGGAGTGCATTGGCGACACAAAATATCCACATTTTCTAAAATGTAATCAGAATTTCTGATTAACTGATCAAATCGATTTATTGCCCAGCCCTATTTTTGGTACTTATCGAGGCAAAACGTGGAGGTTCATGGGGCATGAACACTTCTGCAAGCCACTGTATAAACATAAACCCACAGCAAGAGAGTTCTGTTTATTTCTAACATTTTTTTTTTTTTGGAGAAGATGTTTGTCGTAATTAGACACATGAGGACTCTGAACCAGCATCTCACCTCCAACCAAGACCTGTCCACCTCCGGTCTGATGAACTTGGCCAGCTGTATCCGAACCTTCCTCTCCTTCTTCACCGGATTCACGATGGAGTTGAACACTATGACGGCGCTCTTGTGCTTCAGCAGCGGAACATTCACCACGCTCTCCAGAGTTTTAAACGGTCCGTGTTTGGTCCTGTACTCCACGATGTTGAGCGACTTGCGGCCTCTCAGCAGCTTGACGCTGGCCAGCTCCGCCGAGGTGGCGTTGTTGAAGAGCTGGAGGATGGTGTCCCTCTGCTCGGAGGTGTAGCAGGCGTCCAGCGTAGTCCTGCCGTCGTCCTTACAGGATTCAGGCGACAGGGACGAGGAAGAAGAAGAAGTGAGAGTGGCGTTTAAGGTCTCAAAACCCGCCACGGGAACCCGGCTCTTCCAGCAACAGGTGCACTGGAGGTGGCGCAGCTCCAGGTCCGCCGGAAGGGAGCCGTACCGAGGTCGGAGCAGGGGTCCGGACTGCCCGGCATAGTGACCTGCAGCGGACAGAGATATATAAGCGGGAAACACAGCAGACATCATAAGCCTGCCTTTAAAAATTCTGTCGTAAACTAATTTAAACAGAGCGGGTAAAATGGTGATTTTATCCAGGTTTACCCATTCAAGTTTTAAACACTTGCAACCAGCTGAACTGCACCACGTGATTTAATAAAATAAACACACAATTTCACCATAAATACGAACCCCTGTAAACCGCCGACGAGAGAAATCTTCTCACAACCCACATCATCCTTATTTTAAAAGCAATATCTGTTCAGCTGCGTTGTGCCATTTCGTATTTTGCAAAAGCGCAAGCTACAGACCCCTGGCGAACCTCTACCGGAAATACGTCACCTTCAGTTTTGAGGTCAGTCGGAAATGCATCGTTTACAACGTCTGTATATCTTCAAAATAAAACTAAATAATAAACGGAAAACCTTTTCTTCACCCGAGTAGAAAATATGTATTATTGTTGGCCAATTTCTACCCATTGTTAATCGGAAAAATATGCATTAAAATGAGTAAATATACACATCGGCAGCACATTGCGTACCTTGCATATATAAACATATTTTTGCATTAATGGAACCCCACAGTCCCGAAGCTCAAAGACGGCCCTGAAAACCAAGACAAAAAAGGTGCTCACTGATTTTCGGAAAACAGTCCCATCTGTTTTTGTAAATAAATGTGAAAAAAGATGAGAGAATATCAACGTTCAAGTTTCTGGGAAAACACATTTCCTACCCTCAATGACTGTCCTTCCTGAGAACTCTGAGAGAGAGAGATTAAATTGCCACAACCACTGCTCTGCACATCATAACTTTGTTGAACAGCAGTTCTTCATCTGACAGGGAGGCCCTACAGAGAATCATTAGTTACACAGGGAATAATAAACGCATAACTACCTGATGTAGTCACGTTTACCACATACGTTTCAGTCATATTTCCAACTATAAATCTCATATTTCTAACTATAAAACTCATCATTAAGATACCACATGTGACTCTTAAATGTCTTTCAATGAAACAGTGAACATTTTTTGTTGTTGTTGTAAATGATTTCTTGTTGCAAAGAGTCCAACTTCTTCATTGGCGGTAACTGACATATCTGCTTTTGTTAATGATGTTTGCTGCATTAGTGAAACATGATATAACCATCTCTGACTACAGGGTATACAACAAGCTTTTGGATGCTTCCTTATTCTGTATAGGCAGTTGTTCAGGTCAGTGTGTCCAAACCTTTCCTCCCTTCGTCTTCATGCACAGTCCCTTACTCGCTCGTGTTCAACCTAATCAGGTGTGTTTGTGTCCCTTAAAAGTCCTGCTCTGATACCAAATATGGTTCTCCATATAATCTACAAAGCATCTCATACCTTGTTTCTGCTGTTGAAGTGTTAGAAAAAAGTAAGTGGATTGTTTAACAAATTATATATCTAATCAAGTGAAAAATTTAAACAGAGGGGAAAAAACAACTAGTGCCTTATTCTTCCTTTAGGTAGAATACTGTAAACTGAAGGTAATAGTTATACACAGTTACAGTGTAACTCCACCACCAAGATAAAATCTCATCCTTGCCAGTCAAACTCCAACTTTTTTTTATGAGCTGCAAGCCAATAAGCTGATACGGTAAGTCAATCGCTATGCAGCAAAGTGGCGTTTGTTTCACTTCCTTTCTAAGTTATTTCTGGACCTCTGTGTTTTGTATGCAGAACAATAAACTTCATGATGCTGCCCTGTTAAGAGGAAATACTGGCCCAGTGAGAAGAAACTGTGTTTTTATCTACCCCAGAGCAGAACAGCTCAGAGTGGAGCCAGCATGGAGTTGATGCCTAGTAGCTGTTTCCTCTGGCTTTAGCTGTCTGGGTGACAGCGAACTTTCCTCTATGGCCAGTCAGAGCAGAAACAACAAAATCCTTCTGGATCTGGTGCAGCAGCCGGGAAACAACCAATGTGCTGACTGTGCAGCTCCTGGTGAGTATGCCCTCTCAGATTTATGATATCTGGACATTTTGTACTGCATACTAAGGTTTTCAAAACTTTTTTTTTTTTTTTTATCCATTCCTGATTATATTGTAATGGTTTTATTTAACAAAGTGAAAACAGTAAATAGTCGCTTGGAGCCACGTGATGTTTTGATGAGCAGAGCATTTAAAGTTGTGTTTTATTGCTTTGGTCACGTTTTAGTATAAAGCTGTATTAAGGGAAGCTCTGTCTCCTGTATAACTATGTTACGACCCAATTGTTCCTTTTATAACTCCCAGCATTTGGTACTATGAGGGGAGTTTAGACAGTATTTGCCTGTGTGACAGGAAGACATAGACAGAATACTAACTTTTTCATCTGCTTTGGTCCGTCTCACAAAGTAAAAATTGTGGTGTTTCACTCTCACAGAGCCTGACTGGGCCTCGTACACTCTTGGCGTGTTTGTGTGCCTAAACTGTTCGGGCATGCACCGCAACCTGTCCACAGTCAGCAAAGTGAAATCCATACGCCTCGACTACTGGGAAGATTCATTAGTGCAGGTAGTGATTTGTAATATAATAATATTTTTTTCTTTCCAGTTTGCTTGCGAGATCGTTTTTCTTTCAGTGTCTGACCAGATTTTCCTCGAATGCACAGTTTTGTGAAAGAGACGCTGTTTCAGTTCCTATGGGTTATTTTTCTTGTGGGAAAAGTTGAAATGTTTTTCAAAAATAATTATTGTACCATCATTATCAGCATTAAAGATTTTTCACAAGAGAAAAACAGCTGACTCCACAGACATCACTTAGAAAGTAAATGACAATTACTATTGCAAATGACATAGTGAAAAGAATAGGGGTTGCTTAAAAATGATTCCAGCTTGTAAACACTGATAAACAGCAAAACCCTAAGGGAAAACCAAAATCAAGATACCAGTACAAACAGTTCATACCAGCCACACAGAGGAGGAAGACTGATTATCTGGGGAAAGACAAAAACTGCGTGCCTCTTATTCAGTTAGTTATTTATTATTAACAGTGTGTCTGCTGAACTTTGGCCAAGATTTGGTGAGACAACAGGACAATGGGCTTAAGAACTGCAGGAAACCTACAACAGAGCCGCTGAAAATGTAAAAGGACAAAGGCATTATGACGGTTCAAAAACTGTACATAAAGAGTGTTATGGGCTGGGACTTCAGTAAGAGGTTACCATGGTACCTGTTCGAGTCCTTACAGTTTAAGGGGGGCAAAAAATATTTCGATTTCATTAATATTTGTGCATGTTTTTTGCAAATACAATATTTTCTAAATTTTGAAATAAAACTGCTTGCCAACTAGTCAGAGAAGATATTTTGCTGGATGTTTACATGGATAGTAATAACAAACAAGCCTACTACACAAATGTTCCATAAAGTCTTTGTTTTTGGTGTGTTCAAGTGAGTTTATAACATTGAGGGCCTAGCATGGTTGCTAGAAGTTTTTTTTATATGGAGGACATTTATAGGAATAATCTTGTGTTTGTAAGGATTTTTTTTAAATAGGTCAGTGAGCCAAGCCAAAGGTAAGTGAGTCAAACGTCATGAAAAAGATGATGACTTCTAGTTATTAGTAGTGAATGGGGTTATACAAACAAAATCATGGCTTCTGCTTTTTGACTGATGCTTTGACAAAAAAAAAAACAAAAAAAAACATGATGTAATTTTTTCAGAGGTTGTTCATGTCCATTGTTGTCGTATGCCATAATTTACTGAAAGAAACTTTAACCTAATTTATTAAATAAAAAAGGTTTGCTTCATGTATCCATTTAACTTTAAAACATTTGAAAGAAACTCAATAAACATGTAGCATTTTAAAACCCATCATGGTGTGGTTTCAGTTCATGCAGGAGCGGGGGAATTCTGTTGCTAAAGCCTTTTTCGAGAAGTGTCTCCCTGCCTTCTATTACAGGCCACAGGAACATGACTGCATGTGAGTGACCTTTGTTGCATTTGACACTTATTCACCTCATCAGCTTAGCATAGATGGAAAGCTAATACTAAACTGTCTCAACAGGACACAAATATGGATCAAATGCTTGAGTAAATAATGAAAAAACTTCTGCCACCCAAAGCAACGTGTGTTTATGCTCTGTTTCAGAGTTCTTAAGGAACAATGGATCCGTGCAAAGTATGAAAGACGGGAGTTCACGGGAGAAAACAACGAGTTTCTGCAGACTTACAACTTTGGTGACCTTCTTGAACTTCTCAAGAACACTTAAAAGTTAAATGGTGCTGTTGTCACACTTTTCCATGTGTGTTTTTATTGAGAAAAAAACATTATCAGGGTCTAGTCCAGTGGAAATAAATCAAGTGTTGTCACATCTTTGAACACTGTATTTCTTTTGATGCACTCTTCCTTAAATAGTGCATGCGTATTGGGAGCAAGAGTGTGTGATTCACAGAGTTCTACTGCATCAGGAGAGGGTTCATTAAATTTGTTGTCTAATTTTTCAATATTTAAGAATCAAATGACCATCTCAGGACAAAAGTTCAGTCTTCTATGGATGCCCTCAGATGATCAATTGATTAACTAAATTATTCATATACCAGGCCATGCTGTCAGTTTCGCCTTCAAACATTCAGCATACCAAGCAGAATGAATGTTCACCAGCGCAGACAAAGCGGCTGCATAGGATAGCATGAGCTTAGGTGATGATACCTAAGCTCATGTACTAGGTGATTGCAGTGATAGATTGGAGTGGCATTTGAGTGATCTTGTAGCAGAGGGTGCAAGTGTGATACATGAAACTTGTGAGAGCAGCATCATCTGGGAGCAAAATTTGTTGTCTAAAAGCCTGCCTTCACATGTGACAAAATTGTGTATGCTACACTGTTAAATAACTATAGATGTGATGCTGGGTCCTTCTTTATCTACAGAAAGGATAGCTTGACAGGGGCTTTTGAAATGTGAATCTAATTTTCAATAATCTTTGTAATGTACCTACTTTAGATTTATTTGAATCAACACTATGGAAGAAGGGCAGAGACAACAAACAGTTTCTCAAGAGAATCTTTGTGCTGTCGCAGAAGGATTTCACCCTCAGGTACTTCACTAAGGAGGATGTAAGTTCTTTTCATTTTAAAAGCACGATTACATTAACTTCTTGAGAATTTTTCTCTGTACTGATTACATCTTCTCATGAAAATCAAGTCCAAGGTTGCCAAAGCAGTTATCAGCATGAAGGATCTCAACGCACATTTCCAGCCACAGAAAATCGGCCATCCTCATGGGCTGCAGATTTCTTATCTGGAGGATGAGCGTACAAGGAACCTGTTTGTTTACCATGAGAATGGGCAGGTAAAGCAATCTTCCACAACTTGTCTTAGATATCTGGGATTAGAGCAAATCCAAATATATAGAAATCATATAAATTCCTCCATTTATACTAACTAAATAAACAGACCTGGCAGAAAGTCCACTTTTACAAAATCTTCTCAGCTTTCTTAATTTGTTGTATCTCTTACTCCTTCCAGGTCATTGTATCATTCTTCACTGCTATTCGTGCCACACGCTTGGCGTATCTCCTGAAGAAACATCCCACTCTACAACACAGTGATGTGAGACAACTTTCACTCTACTTTACCAAACACTGATGTGATCAGAGTTCGTCATCTTCATTGGTTCACAATAAAACGAACATTAACCATGTTGAGTCAGACTGTAGAGCAGACTTTGTTTGAATGTGGATGTGCAACAAAACTGACACTCATAGGTCAGTATTGCGAGACAGTGTTACTTTCGATACAAAGAGTTTAATTTAACCCCTGTTCTACCTCGCCTACAGATATTTGTGTTCCTATTAGGCCCACTACCAAACCTCATGTCACAATTTATAGGCTTTGGTTACATTTGCGTTACTCCCACTTCTTTTGACTACTTCCTTTAGAGGTCACGTTCACTCCACCCACAGCATTTTCCACTGTAACACTAATTCTCTGCATACTTTGCCTCATTACCTTTAATAACATTTTCTGTCATATTAGTCTTTTCCTCCTTAGTGGCAGCTCCATCTTCACCATCTTCTGTCCACTATATCCACTGACTCTGCTGTGGAGCTTTCCTAAACATCTCAACATTTCCTCTGTCAGGTTATATACAATCTTATTCACATTTGGTCACAAAACAGTCACTGCTCAATACATTGTGAGAGATTTTATTGGTAGGGCAAAAAGAGAAGTGCATATTTATCAAGTGGAAGGAAAATGACAAATGTTTTTTGTTTACTGTTAATTGGCTACTCTAGATTACCCTTAGGTGTGTGTGTATGGTTGTGCGTCTGTGTTTACCTGTGAAGGACTGGCAACCTGTCCAGAGAGTATCCTGCCTTTTGCCCAATGACCGCTGGAGATGGGCGTCAATCCAGTCGTCTATCCTTTGTAAGGATAAATGATTATAGACAAAGGATGGATGGCTCTGATCAATTGATCAATTGATTAATTGATCAGATTCAATCTGATCGAGCAATCTGATCGAGCTTGAGGTGTTTTGCAAAGATACATGTGCAACAAATTCTTTAAACATGCAAAGCTGGGAAACAGATGCTCCAAAGAATTTGCTTCAAAGGTACTTTTAATATAGAGATTTTCTAAATGGCAGACAAGAATCATTTCCTTCCACTTTACAAATATGTGGAAGGAACCAAATGTGAAAGAGTTTCAGGGTTATTGATACTTTTACAAAGAATTGTAGTCATTTCTGACATTGTCCATGTCGGTTCCTTCCAACGGAAGTCTTAACATCTCCAGCTTTGTCTTTTTGGCACTACCTTGAAGTTATGCATCTGTTACTGCTCTGCCACTCCACTTCATACCATTCTCCTTCCCTTGACTCTTGTGTACTTCCCCTGTTTCTGTTGGACTCATCCATCTACACTACAGCAATGCCAACCAAACATGTTATTACTATAATAGTTTATGTTTATAGGAAGACTACATTTTTCCTACAGTACATAAAAATCATAGAATTGAGCTCATCTGAGCTGCTGACTATTTAAACCGCAATACATTTTAACTTAGCAATTTTACCAGTATTGTTTTTGTTTCTTTTGAACAGCTAATACCTCAGATAACAACTCATTGCCTGAAGGAGGGCTATATGGAGAAAACCGGCCCAACGGTTTGTTGTTATAGCACAATTTATGTATTTATCTGGACTAGTCCAACTGCTGTCCTTATCAGATTTCTGCATTTGTGTTTTTCAGCAACGTGAGCCGTTCAAGAAGAGGTGGTTCACTCTGTGCTCAGTGAACAGGAAACTCCTGTACTGTAAATCTCCACTGGTAATAAGCCAATCTTTTCTAATGCACATGAATGTTTTTGTTGGAGTGTATTTATAGCTTAAAAAAAAAAAAAGTAATTATTGCGCAAATTAAATATTTCCTTCCGGTTGCATTCGAAACTCTTTTCTCTGCACCGAATTGTTAGGATGCCGTGGATCTAGGCGCCGTCTTTATCGGGTCCCAAGACCACGGCTACTCCGTGTCAGAGAGCAGCGGCCGGTGCATGAGGTCGGGCCGGTGGCACTGTGGGATCACGATGGAAACTCCAAGCAGGCAGTTTGTGTTCATGTGTGAGCAGGAGCAGGAGAGAAGGGAGTGGATGGAGGCCTTCAGAAAGGTCATCTCGCAACCCATGACCCCGGAGGATTATGCCAGTACGATGATGTTGCTCCAGCTGACGCCATGCAGAACATTTCAGATCAAAGAGGCTCCCTCGCTATCAACTCTCTTTCTTGTTTCCCTACAGATGAAGCCACTTTGAGGAGAGGGAAATGACTGGGAAGTTTTGACAAAGTGACTCCTGCAGCTGGGCTGCTGTGGCTTCCTGGGGCCGATGTAGATCAGAGGCAGCTTCTTCTTACTAATAGTTATTGTTCTAGTGGACATAGAAAAGCAATTTTTTTTTCAGCATGCCTTATGTATTTAATGGAACTCAATACTGTATTTATTGAAATACTTACTTCAGATTTAAAAAAATAACTATAGTAATCTAGAATAATCACTCTAAGTTCAAACAGCACATTAACCATGTTTTGTGTATATTTTTATGTAACTGAATTTGCACATTTTTAAATCTTTTTTTACTGTCTGTGACTTAACCAAACAGGAATAAATATTAGATTTGTTTACTACATCTATCTGTTTCTCCATCTGTCTCTTCATCCATTGTGCCACTGAGCAAAGATTCTTCAAACATTTTTCTAGAAATGCATTTCAACTCAATAGCATGGCCTAATCTACATCTAGCTGAGAATGTTTGTATGAAGCGCACAAACAAAAACAACAACAACACGCATTACAGTATAACTATAAATGACCTACATATCTGTGAATATAAACACAAAAACGTTGGAACTGGATTTGAGTTTGGCTTTTTTTATTATTCAGGATCGCTTACTAGAACATAAATCTAACGGTAGAAGAGGTGCAGTACACAATATTTACCCATTGGCTAATATTAAATTTCTTAAAATAAGTCTAGTAGCAGAACCTTCCTGCTTTCCAACTCCTCTCCTCCACACGTTTGTGTATGGTGTTTTTCCATTTATTGCCACGCGTTGGCGCAGGTTAACTAATCTTTCTGTAAAGATGTAAAAAATATTCAGATGACGCACTCGGATGCATTTTTCTTGTACCAGAGAAAGCCAACTAAGACAAATGACCGACAACACAAATACCTTTTTCTATTTTAAAGCTATTCTAAAAGTGTTTATTTCAATATTACAAAAGGGACAAGTACTTTGTACGTATATCTGAGATATCTGACATGTTTAATCCTGTGTTGGCTAAAGAGAGGAGGCGTGGCGGGGCTCTGCCCGCTGATGAAGCAGTGTAGCGGGCGCAGAAACTTCCTCTGATTCGCTGTCTCGTCACGGCTGGGAGCTGAATGCCTGTCCGGCTGAGACTGGCGGCCAGGCGGAGTATTAGCTTATAGCACACCCTGCTGTCACCCCGGATGTTAAAACCGGCTGTGCGGTTCCGACATGTAGGGATGCGTCGCTCACTGGGAACCAGCGCGAAGCGGAGTTGAAATGCGGACGTAGCCGTTAGCGAGCGGGCCAGGCCGCGGTGAGCTGGCTGGCTGTCTCCACCCCCCCCCCCCCCCCCCCACCCCCCCCCACCCCGCCCGGGCGACAGCGGAGCGTGC